TACTTGGAGTATACTGGCATAGTACGCATCTATAATCACCACAACGCAGAATCCACTTTCCTTATGCAAGGAGGCAACTGGCTAATGTTTACTGTCTATCAGACGTTAGTGATAGATACACTGTTCTTACAAACAGTACTTCACCTGTGTAATCGAAAAAAAATATTGTTATTCTCACATTAGTGTTTGTTCGTCTTCTAAGCTAATCTTAGTTTAAGGCTACTCAGATCGAACTCCGTACATACTAATAACTGACCAGATTCACTAATTATTCCTAAAAACTGAGGCATTTTAAATACTAAGCTTATCCAAATTTGGCATTAAACTACAAATATGAAACACCGACTGAGGAGTGAACACAATCAGAAATAATTATTAAACTTACGAACACGCTAGTTATTTTGTTTGGCGCCATTTTTATTTTCACTTTTTTGTTACTCTGACAGATTTTAAATGTAAGGATTTTTTTCTTTCGATTTACTTGTCAAAAAATTGAAATCAAACATAAAATGACGACACGGAAAATATAGGTTCATGCATCAAATATGCTTGTCATTTATTTATTGACTGTGTGTTGTGTAACTGAATGACAAAATGGTAAAAATAACTATGTGATGCATTTCGGCGTTTAAAAGGATTCCATCAGACTAATGTAATTTCCTTATTACTATGATATATATCTGAGCAGGGGGCGGAATATAAACTAAAACATCGTTTAAGATAAATGCAAAATGATCAATCGATTTTATTTACTTTACCCACATTTTTGTTTTCATCGTTATTGATTTTAAATATCCTACACTGCGGAAACAGATTTGCTAAGAAAGGTGAAATATAAGAATCTGGATCCAAGTTTACCGTGAAAGGCTCAGAAATCAGTGCACTTTCTATGCATTTCCCCATAGTAAATTACTTTTTATTAAAGCAGTATTTTCTAAAGTCCAAATTATGGTTAGATTCATTACATACTGCGCAAGAAGCCGAAATCAAATCTGCTGGGATATGAAATTGATAGCGTTTGTTTTTTTGGGTTTTTTTTTTTCACTCGATTGTTGAATCATTCGTCAAGTTCTCAGTTTTTCGGTTATTTATCGATAGAGCTAAAATTGTTACACTTGTCTCACTGAACTGCAGTATTCTCAATCCATGTCTTCATGTGATTAAACCCTTCTTCACGCAACCTTTTGTTAAGAGTGTTTTCTTTAAAGTTTTCCTAACCAGCAACTATAAGCTTTATAGGAATTTAAGTTTTCGTTTTTATATCATCCCAATATACAAGTTTCTAAGCAGATATCATTTTTCGTAACAAGAGGAAAACCTAAAATGTTGTATTAAGCTTTTTATTTATGCAAAGTTTCTTTTTTCAATTTCACGAAATTCAAATGAAAGTGGTGTTGTATAATTTTCATATTCAGATATCTTGGAATAAATGTTTTTAATATATTACATGACATATAATATCGATATTAGCTATATCATCTGATATATCTGTAGCCTATATATTACATGAAATATAATATGTATTTGCTATTTTATGTAACAGCTGAAATCTCTATGTGGTTTCTTACATTTAAATATATGTTAAATATTTATATATTCAGTATATTATATTGAACATTTTATGTACATCTTAATTTAATTTCACTTTTGATTATGATGTATTTATATTTCACGTTTCTTATTACAGGTATGTATATCCTATCTTCACAAAATGTTTCGTTCGGGCGAAATTTCTGACTAAAAAACTGCAACTGAGGTTCGTAGTTTTCTTTTTTAAAATTCATATTTTAGTAAACCTGACTGATTGTGAATGTCATCAGAAAAAATAATTACTAAATGTTTACATTTTTTCTTGTTCGTTCCTAATACGGTTTTAACAACAAATAAAACCTTGCAATTTTTTTTTTTTTTTAGTATGTTTCCTGAAAACTTCATTTTGTTTCCGTACCATTGTTTAATTATAATAACTCAAATTAATAACAGACCTGACACCTTTCAGGATGGAAAAAAGTAAACTTCACTCTTGTAAAATCCAAAGCGATAACGACTATGACTGCTTAAGACATAATAACTTGTGTAAAACTCTCAGATTATAAACATCAGTGTAAATACGTACGCTCATATATTTTCCGCAATAAATCAAAAAGTTCTTACATCATTTACATTATTCGAACTGTTATCGTCATCTTTATTGCCATATTCACAACGTTTCGACCATTGTATGTTCCAGCCTTCTCCAGATGATTAGAATTTCGAACCGAACCCTTTATTTCGTCCACCGGGGTAGATTGTTCTAGTTCCTCATGCCATGCCTCTTCAGGATGTTTCATTTATTTCCTTTAACTCAATTTTCCAAGTTTGGTTCGCCACTGCTGTGGCCTAGTATTGAACTTAAACTTCTTTGGGTCTGGTCACTGGATCTAACCAATGTCTTTATTCACTGGGCCATGTTTCCTTGAAGACGAAATAAAGAGTTCGGTTCTAAATTCCAATCACCTGAAGAAGGCCGGAGCGTAAAATGGCAGAAACGTTGTGAATATCGCAATAAAAATGAGGATAACATTCCGAATAATGTAAATAATGATAATACCTCATCTCAGATATATAGACAGATATTGAAATCAAAATATTTACGATACTTAGCTAAACTTTTGGCAATGTTAACGCTACTCAGGGTCAAGTAGGAATAACTGTAATCATGAAACGATTAGTCGGTTTATATAAGTATCGTGAATTTTGTTAATAAATAATCAATAGGATATATTTACCCTCCACGCAAATCACCAATCTGCCACTGGGTGGCATGCCACTATCGTTTGCCGCTGGTGGCCCGCTGCTGGGCCGCCGGCGTGTTCGTCTCGACAATTTCGCCAATGGCGGACCGCCAGAGGCCCAGCCGTGGCGCTCCGATTGCTGTCACTAGAGGACCGCTAGCGTTTCCATCGGCGGCCCGCCATCGACTAGCGGCTTGCGTGTAGGGTATATTTACATTAGAAATATATATTGTGAGCGACATGTTTTTATAATATCTATCTTTATTTAAAATAATGATAATGTTTAAGAAATGCCTTTATACTGCAATATACATTTATATATGTAAATAATACAGTATCACATATCCACGAATAAATTATTTTAAATGCTAAATAGTGATTTTCCGAGCGTAGCATAGATGTGGCACAAGACCGAAAGTATGGAGCACCCAGTGAGGACCGAACTCACTACTCAGGCATAATTGTTCTAGTGTGACAAGCTTGCTAACCGTTACACCACATCGGGTGCCCATTCTAAATGCTAATATGAAGTTCTCTACATTCTGTAACCTTTCATGTTTTGATGTCAACTTTTCTACTTTGTGGCTTTTATTGTTTTCCATAGAATTTATCTGCTTGTATATATTTTTCCATGCTTATGCACATCTGTAGTATATCAGAATATATATTGTTGATCATCAAAGACGTCAGATACAAAATGGGGTTGACCTGGGGGACAACCTCAGCCTCTAAATAGAGAAATACGTGAATTTGCACTTGCATCCGGTTTTGAGTGGGAAAGATTTGTAATACACTTGGTTATGTAAACAATCCCCCCCCCACCAATTTAGATTTATGGGATTGCCTAATATATATATATATAAAAAGGTGCGGCAGAAATATTTTCTCTCGCACCCAGTGTGTGTGATATATTCAAACACGTTTCATTGAATAATACAGACATATTGTGTCTATTTTTAGATTAATCCTTTCTAGTTCTCTAATTATTTTCTTGATGTTAAGCTGAATTGTATTCGATTCTTTCGTTTGGATTTTGCAAGTGAAGGTTACCAAAGAAGGCGCTGTTGCTGTTAATTTGAAGTTTTTGTTTATTATTTTCTTATATTAGCGTTGTCAACAAGTATTTTCTGTATTGTGACACTGGACAGAAATGTGTTTTAAATGTTTTAAAAACACACCTAATGGGAAGAAAAAAAAACACGGCGCCTTCCTTAACGAATTTCATCTTAACATCAAGAAACTCATTAGAAACCTAGAAAGGATTTTACAAAAATAAATAAGAATAATAAGTCTATATTTTTCAATGAAAAATGTTTGAATGAAGATATACTACCTAAATGCGCGCGCACACACACACACACACATATATATATATATATATATATATATATATATATATATATATATATATACTACAGTTCAAAAGTCACCCCAGAATTAGCATGGGATGAACTTGTGAAAAAAATAAGCGCTCTTGGAGTCATTAAAAAAAAAGAATGGAATCATTTATCAAACTTATGCTATGAGAAGCTTGTGCAACGAATGTCAAAACTTTGTGCTGCAGTAATCAAGGCTAAAGGAGGATATTTTGACTTTGACGAGAGAAAAATTTAATCATCTTTTCATCTTAATAAAATTTCTAATAAAAAATCATGTATAATAATTTTCTTTAAACTAAAAATACAAAACAACTACTTTTGGTGTCAATTTAAAAAATTGTCAGGGATCTGCTCAAAGTTTTGAACTGTAGCGCATATATATATATATATTCACACAAATGTTTCGGTCGAGGGCCACTTGCCACGCATTTAGACACTGGCCTAGAGTAAGAAACAGTCAGAAGTTGATTTAAAAATGTAATGTTAAATACGAAAGATTCAGGTCCCCCTTTTGATGGCGCGCCCTTTTCATTTCGCATCCCTTTTAATGTAGTACCACAAGTTTACTTTTGGGTTAATAACTGGAGAAGGCCAACAACCATTTTCTTAATTTCCGATTTTTAAAACAGCTAAACCAAAGTAGGAAGTAGTTATCCTTAATGAATGGGAAGGAATATTAACTAAGATGAATGTGTTCTTTCTCGAAGAACATTTTGACAATGATCAGTACAACTCAAAAAGAGTCTTATCCAAGAATTACAATAATTCTCTACCCTCTCTATTGACCCAGTCCTCATCATTTTTTTCTGCCTAAATGCTGTACCAAAATCTTCCGACAGTGAGATTACGGCCATTAAACACCAGTTCTCGTATGATCACCAAAGTTAAGCAACGTCGAGCCTAATCAGTACCTACATGGGTGATGATTTGGTATAACAGGTGCTGTAAGCTTGGGTGTGCGGTTGGTGTAAATGATAACGGCTCGGATTTAGAAATCGAAGAGCCGAGATCCAATCCATTTGGGATCGTTATTTTCATTTACGCGCAAATATTCTTGATAGATTTATGAATCTGCCTCTTCACCCCCAGCTATAGGTTAATAAGGACCTATCAGTAAATCATTAGCTCGGAAGATTCTTCCAATCTATGAATATTGTATGGCTTTAAATAACATTCAAAGAGTGGATAATCTGTAAAAAAATAAATTAATCAAAATCCTCATTTTTGTTGTCTACTAAATTTTTTAGTTGACTATTTTCCATGACGTACCCAATTTTTAGAGCAATCCTCACATCTATCAAATGTAACACTATATTTCATTAAAAATTACTATTGATAAATCAGTTTTCATGTACCACTTCGTCAAACGTATACGTTCCTCATTTTGGTATTTACTTCATGTAGTTTATTTGCTTTCATGTTCTTTCGTCAGTTTATTTACTATTCGCCATCTTTTATCTATTTACACACATTGCATTTGCTTATGCTGTTTTAATTCTTCATTACCAACTTTGAATCATTTTTATCCTGTCTGATTTTGTGACCTTTTTTTTTGTTTATTGTTCCGAACGTTCAGTTTCTTTCAAGATATTTTTTAATATACTGTGATCGTTGATAAAGTTTTCGAAATTTCTTAATTTGTGCCCCCTTCACCTCATGACTTTACAATATTTTTTTGTGTGTGTGTTTTAAATTTTCTGATGAATTAAAAATTATACATCTGCAATTAAAAAAATCAACTACATTATATAGATTGAACAAACATCAAATTGAATAATAAATATCCCGCCGTTGGTGTGAAATTTTTATATTGTATTTCTAATAAAATCGTATATTAAAAGCTGAAATCCATGTGATCTATTTCTTATAAATATAAAGCCATCATGAAAACATCTGTTTCTTTATATCTAATTACATTTTGAAAACATTTATTTGTATAATAAAATCTGATATGCTAACTGCACACGTCTCGTTTTGGCCCAAATTCTGAGAAATTCCTTCTGATAAATGCTTAAGCTAACATTGAGCTTATATTTATACAAAGATCTCTTTCTCTCTCTCTCTCTCTCTTTCTCTAAAAGGCTGCTGCTCACAATAATTTTTAACGGCAAAAATAAGCTGACAGATATTTCTCAAATACTAAGGTTTTAGGAACTCTTTCATATATATATATATATATATATATATATATAAAATAGAGAAATTTACTATTTTGTAGAGTAAGGAGATTGTGTTGCGCCAATTTATCTATCTATATTAAAATATATTTATGCGCATAAATTTTTATAAGCGTATATGATGGAATCTTCTATTATTAAAAATTAATAGTGTGCTATATCAATCAAACATTAATGGTAATATTAGCTATTTCTTTATAAGTAAACAGTTGGCATTCATTGACAGAGCATTCAGGACAATTCTCAGTTGAAATTTGTAGTCATTCTCTTAAAACAATTTTTAAAAGAAAACGTTTCTCAAGTCCAGTAGCTGTTATCGCTCTTTCCAGTATTAATGAGGGTTTCTTTCCCAACCTTTTGTTTCAAGTACTGTGGAACGTCAGCAATATATAATTATTTTCTCTTAGTGTTTTATATATATATACATATAGTTTTAACCCTGGAAAAAGCCCAACCTTATTCGAGGTTACAGAATAACAGGCACAGTTTATGAGAATATGTGAAGATGACAACTTTTAACAATAGATTCTTCTGCGCGGTCTCTTAATTTAAGTTGATGAATGCAGCCATGATCCTTGCCTTCAGTTTATCTTTGGTGGTAGGACCTTTGTTTGTCTTTCGCTCAACTGTGCCTGGATGCAGTCTGGGTAGTTAGGTAGCCAGATGTAAGGGGTGATGTGGTCGCAGAAATTGTATGACAGCCATGACTGTCATCCTGCTTGGGTGAGTGGCATGGCGCAGACACCATCTTGACCCAGGGCAGCACTACCTCCTCAAGGCACTTGATGTAGGCCTCCTACTTAAGCCTGAAGCCGTGTGAGAAGATGAATGGAGGTATAACGTCGCCATCACTATGATCACGCCAAACACCATAATGTTGATTGGATATATAATGAAACTCTTTCCAAATCCTCTGTACTGTTCTCAGATTGACACCCAAATACTGTAAAATGTTCGTATAGTACACCGTTTCCAATTTTCTGGTGGAGTGAATTGCGTCATGGGGCTCTTTTTCTGTCAGATGGTGCCCAACTTAAACATACTGTACAGCTGACAAAATCAAAAACAAATAACACGCATGCGCGATCTATAAAATGGCGTAAATTTACCCATCACACCCTGTACTTTTCTCCATTCAAGTGAATTGGTCATGTCTTGCCCCGTCCCTCGTCGTTTTACCTACAGTTTTGTTTCTTAAATTTAGGATTCAATTTATTGACTATTTTTGGTAGTAATTTTGCTTTGTATCAAGTCTGTTATTGGTTAGTTTCATCGAGAAAGCCGGAGAATATATCAGCCGATACCTTGCAAAAAGGATGGCGTCTGAGTTAAACAACTTTATTAAAAATTTACTTTAGTTCAGTAACTTTTTCTTTCGGAGATTTTTGACAATTTTTAAACAGTTGAAAACTAATGATATGTAAAAACTCTAAGAAACTATTCATTTTATGGGGGTTGGGTGACTTGATGGTAATTTTGAGAAACATCATAGATGCATCTTTCTTTGAAATTGCACATTAACTATTATATTAAATGTCGTGGTCACTTATATTTACAATGTTGTCGTTTCGCAGGCCGTGCAGTTTCAGATTTCATTGGCGGAAAGCAATCAGAAGTAACTATTATACCATCTGACCGTCTTTCATAAGCGCTGAGAAAAAGTCTGCTGCGGTGACTTGCCGCAGAGAAGTTAGCCAAGCGTTCATTATTAGACAGCAACGTGTAATTTTATACTTTATTAAGCTCATTGATTGATAATCTCACGTTTCCTGGGAGATGCAATGCCATTATACAAGATAATATATTCTCACAGAAAATCTGATGGGCCACTGTCAACACAATATTATAGAAGTGGTTGAGAAACGCTTATGTGATTTTTTTTTTTTCTAACTAACAATGAAAAGTTGGGTTATTAGTTATCGAGGTTATGAAACGTAATCTAGCATTCAGGTTGTTGGACTGGATACAGACTTTCATTAATTGCTGAGGCTTTAATAGAAAACACAGAGGTTTGATTTATTTAAATCAACAATTTTATCATGATGTGCACACATACTGTTATACAGACATAATCATATTGAATTTGGAAATATATATGTGTGTGTGTGTGTATTATTTAGCATCACGTGCCTTGAAAAAGTCGAATGACGAAACGCGTCGGCAAGGATTAGGAACTATTTTTCAGTTGTCTTTTTTTATCCATATATATATATATATATATATATATATATATAAGTAGTAGTAATCTTATAAGTATAAGAAACTATACTCGTTCGGAAAACCTTCGGTGTCTTGATTTGCAAATAATCAAACCAATACTAAAGGGAAAAAAAAGTATAAAAAATGAAAGAACCAAGAACATGTACGTTAGCTGAAAATAATCGTCTAGCTTGCAAGCCCAAAGAAAAAAAAACTCCGATACGAGTACACAAAATAACTATTTAAAGTGCTCAATACAATAAGAGCAGACCTAGTTAAACCTAGAGACCCAGGCAACCTACCACGGTTTCACCTTAGGGGTCGTCAGGGGAAGGCTGGCTAAAAGGTAAGGTTTTTACCTTTTAGCCAGCCTTCCTTGACGATCCGCTAATGTGAAACCGTGGTAGGTTGCCTCTAGGTTTAGGTTTATATATATATATATATATATATATATATATATATATATATATATATATATATATAATGTGTATGTGTGTGCGCATGAGAACATTAATGGTTACTTTATATCCAAGTCTTATTAAATTTTTTAAATAAATTTTCATGTGCAAAAGAATTCAGTATGTTAATCGGTGTACGTTGAAATATTGTTTTCTCTCAAAAGCTGTTGCATTAGTCTGACGATAGAGAAAACCAAATATAAAGAGACCTTATATAATTACAGTTACATTTCTAGTCGTATGTTTCTACCATGTCAGATATTATGCAGATCAATATTTTCACAATAAAATTTGTATTAAGCGAGCTATGGTGTCTAAATTTTCAGAATATATGTATATCTATGTAATAAAGCCATCATGAGACTTTCGGCATAAAATATGTTTTTATTCGAAATGTAATAACACATAATGCACTGCGAGCTTTTATAATGCAGATCCAGATTGTTTTTTTTTTTTGTTTTTTTTATCATATTATAAATAATTATATGATAGAAGCTGAATATTTAATTTTGAATTTCAACTATATAAAGACAACTGTGGATGAGAAGATAACCTCAACAGTGAAACAAGATATTGTAAAATTATAAGGCAATGGAAATGATATATAAGGTCTCTACAAAAAAAAATGATATCATTTAAAATGTGACGATCTGGATCACTACATGTCCCAGGCAAATGAAATTAAATAGGCTTCATACTGAACAATAAAAAATAGTTTTTATAACCGATTTCACAAAGCTTCAATATGCACACCACATGTGACAGGACACACTTCAAGTCGGTAATGCTGCCCCTACCAAACATACCGTAGCATGTCTTTCGTAAAATTCTCCAGTGGCACAGTAATTCTCTGCCTAAGTTTCTCTAAGGCTTGTATGAAGAGGAAGGTTATAGACCTATCCTTTCACAGACCCATAGAAAAAGAAATCCCAAAGTATCAAGTCAGATGAACATGGTGGCCATTTCAGCAGTACATTGTCACGCCCGATCTTTCTTCCTGGTAGATTCTCATTGCGATAAGTCCGTTGTTTTTACACTATCTGTCTACATTTGGCACAGTGGATAAAGGCGTTAGTTAGATCTAGTGACAGGGCCCAAAGAGTGTGAGTTCAATA